AATACATATATATATATATATATATATATATATATATATATATATATATATATATATATCATATATCGGGATGTATAGGGTTGTAGAGAGAAGGCGGAACGCCGCCCCTTGGCGGCATTGTAATCACAGAGGTCGCCGGCCTGAGCTCGAATATAAGAGGAAGGGAAGGGCATCTCTCCAGTCACCATTGCGGTACTATGAGGAACCACACTATTACAGTCCCAAGCTTCAACCATTAGCTCACCTCTGGAAGAAATCTGAAGATCGCCGATATTGGAGGAGACGGAACTCTGGCCCAAATACCAGTGCAGCTGTCAGATTTCACTCTCTATTGAAAGCAAAGACTTCGAACTATCGTATGACGGGCACAACATCATCATCTCCGAATCTAAATCAGGTAAAATCCGCCATCTATACATCGCTAAGACTCTTGCCCCTTGGCTAATTGATGTTCTAAGTCGGCCAGAATACTCAAACAAAAACTGGGAAATTACCGATTATGATGGTGATTCTTTCCTCAAAGTTTTTTGGGATTCAAATAGATTTGGTCACTTTGCTCGCCTCTCATCAAATCTGGGACCCCAACCCTCTCAAATTTTCATACCCGCTGGTTACTCTTTAGAAGGATTAAATATTTTTAGCAGGGGTTTGGCTGAGCTCTTACGGGCCTCGGAAGGGAGATGTAGTCAGAGTGCCCTCTGCCACTCCCTTACAGTGATGAAGGAGATTGCAGGAAGCTTAAAAATGACAAGGACGAAGGATGGAGATTCTGCCCCAACTGGGTGCTCACTTCTGAAAGGGTTGATGAAGATCGAAAGGGTCCTGGAAATATGCTCCTTATTGACTCTATAATGGAACAAGAACGGGAAGGTGCTCTAAAACACACTCCAGATGCAGAACCTCTAATTGACCAGGATTGTCTGAAGATACTCGATCAAGTGATTAGGGACAACCTTAACGTCTTCTGGAGATCAGTAGCAAACAAAAGATTTTTGCAAGTTCTTAAGAAGGGTGAGTTACTCAGTTACTCAGGGGAAGTTATCAGGGTCACTAGAGAAGCAATGAAGAGCTTCGAATTCATTGATGCAGCAATAATTCAAGGAGCAAAGTATCCGGTATTCCTTGCTTATGCAAAGGAGGATATGGAGGTAGTGCTCACTTAACTGTGTGGTGTTCAAGAATGAATGTAGAACACATCTTGGCCAGGGATAGTTTTCACTTCCATTCAGTTTTATTTTCAGCCTTTCTAGGGTGTTTTTTGGTTCTCATTGTTGATTATTTGTCTGGCAATGCAGATTAGGATGGGTTTTCTTGCAATAATTTCACCCTACTGTTGGTGTTTGGGGTGTGGCAGTAGTCACATAGTTATTAGGGACACAAAGTCCCACAATGAGTTCGAAGGCTGGTAGGTTTAGGCCGTTTAGTAGCCCTAGACTTTGGTGAGCGGAAAATCAAGAATTTTGTGGGTTTGGCTCTCTTAGACTTTACTCACTTTAGGGTGGTTTTACTGATATGCTTGTAGGAAATCTACGGAATTAAGGTATGGGATTTGATGCTGCCACTTGAAGATTCTCAATGCTGAATAATTGGCTACTGGAAAGGAAATCATTGTGGGCTGGGCCCTCTTCAATAGCAGATGTTGCTGTTAAGTTAGGTTCCAGAGGAAGAAGAGGTTATAGAATGGTACTTGTAGCCATGTCCCCTTTCCCTTTTTTGATCTGTTTGGAATTTTCATGGGCCACTTGTTGGGGCAGGCCACCCCAACTCTTTGTACTTTTCTCCTTTTTCGAATAAAATCTCTATTAAAATTACACACACACACACACACACACACACACACACACACACAGATGAATTCTCTCTCTAAATTTCCGGCGACCGGAAAGTCACCAGAAAACCTTAATTCTATCCATTCCCTACCACGGTGTACACTTTTCTCCGAGCTCTTCCATGGGGAACCTGGAGATATCCCGGGCACAGTATGTGATTTTTATAAAAACTCCCCTTCAATATCCTTCACGACGGAGGAGGAAAGGAAGCTGGCCGGGAAATTCGCACAGACACTGGTAGGAAGATGCATTAGCCGAGTCCACCTATCTGAGGTTGAAGATTTCTTAAGCAAGGGCAGATTCAAGGAGTTCAAATTACGAAGGCTTCAATCCAATGAACTTCTCTTCATCTTTAAACATGAAGAAGACTACCTTCGCTGGTTTTCAAGAAGGAGGTGGAAAATTAAAGGATGTATCATCCCTATTTGCAAGGGGACGCCGGAGCATGAACCCTCAGCAGACTCACCTCTCTTCCCTCTTTGGGTTGAGTTGAAGAACTTCCCCATTCACCTCAATGACCACAAAGCAATCTTCTCAATAGCTTCTGCTCTTGGGAAATTAATCAAGCTGGACTCCAACTCGGTCATTGGAGTTAAACCCGACCAGATTAGGGTCTGCGTTGAGAGAGACCTGTCCATCCCCTTTCCTTCTCATATTCATATCAGGCTTGGAACTAAAGATCTCTGGTTACCCTGCAGATTTGAAAACCCTCCCCTATACTGCCCAATGTGTCACAGGTTTGGGCATAACCTTCAATCCTGCCGGAGAACCTCCATGTCATTGCTCCGACCAGGGAGGTGGGTCATATGGGAGCGTCTGGATTTCACAATAATCAGCATGATTGGAAAATGGTCCTTAGCAAACGACACAACAAGTCTGGCGAAAGAGTAATGGGGGGTCCCTCATTAAACCAATATGCAGTGCATGGGGCTTTCAGATACAAACCAATACACCAACAACAACAGGACAAAAGCAACAAGAGTAAAGGACTAGAGGGCATATCCAGGTTTTCAAACACTCACGTCCAAAAGGGTGAGCCCGCAACCAACCATACGCCAAAACAGGTTCATTGGGAAGACACGATGCCTATGGTGGAAGATGTACCTGAAGAAGATACCAATTACCCCCCAACCATGACAAGTAAGTCATTTCCCTCCAAGCCCACTCTTTAGTCCCACCAGTCAGAATCTCTTCTTGACCTTTCTTTCCTCCATGTTCCCAAACCCCAATCTTGCATGAATATTATCCCGTTTAACCCCTTCCAGGAAGACTCTTACCCACTGGGAGTTTTTCCACCAACAAATGATGAACCACCCAGGCCAGGTAGCAAAGATGACTGCTGGATTAATGATCAACTTCAACCAACTTGGGAAGCCAAATCAGACAGCAGCTCCGTTCTGGAGGAATCCATTCCTTTTGTTTGCCATTCTGATGGAGGGGAGAATGATAAACCTTTCACCACATCACCCCCAAATCCCTTCCATTTGGATGTTGGAAGATGTTCCAAACAATCCATATCGTTCCCTAAACACCGCAAACCTAGAAAAGATATTCCACCATCCTCGGTGATGACTCGAAGCAAAACTTCTAAAGATGTACCCCCACCCAAGGTTCTTTTATGAAACTCCTTTTCTGGAATGTCTGTGGAGCTGCCTCCTCTCTCAACAGACTAATTTCCCTAAGGAGAGCACATGATTTAGACTACTTATACATTTTGGAACCTATGGTTAACCCTTCCCAGCTTGAATCCTTCCGTATTAAACTCAACTTCTCTCATAGTCTTGGATCCCAAAATAATATGAAATGGATCTTCTGGAACGAGTCATGCTTTAAACTCATCTCCTTCTCAGATTTCCCACAAGTAACCAGTTGCCTTTTCACCCTTCAAATGGACAACTCTCCCATTTTGATTTCTGGGGTTTATGGTGCTCACACGATCTTGGCTAGGAAGGAGCTCTGAGAGGAACTTTCTACAATTTGTCCCTCAAACAAACGCTCGATAGTTGGCGGGGATTTTAATTCCATTACCTCACCACATGAGTCAAAGGAACCTACCCTCCAAACCAACTTAGTATGGAGGACTTCAATTCATGAATCCTTCACTTCAAACTCATCAATCTGGATCCCATTGGTAGTACCTTCACATGGTCAGGTGTACGCTCCCAAGGCAGGACCTGGTGTAGACTAGATAGAGTAATGATTCACCTGGACCTTCTCATCTTCTTTCAAGACGTGGAGCTTCATCACCTTTCCAAAGCCAACTCTGATCACAATACTCCCAAGCCTTTCAGATTTCTAAACACCTGGACCCTTCATGAGAACTTCCTCCATACTGTTAAGCTTTCTTGGGAAAATTCCCCTACCACTAGACGTATGAGAGGTCTCCTTCAGAAACTCAAAGCTGTGAAGCAAACCCTGAAGAAATGGAATAAAGATACTTTTGGAAACATTCACTCTAAACTCAAAGAAGCCGAAGCAAGGGCCAACCAAAGCCAAAAAGAATTCAAGGACTTCCCAAATGAGGAAAACAGAACTGCTGCTCAAAGGGACAATTTTGCACTGATCGTAGCGACGAACATGGAGGTGGAATATTGGAGGCAAAAAGCTCAAATCAGATGGCTAGACAAGGGAGACTCTAACACCAAACTCTTCCAAGCCTTTGCAAAGGGAAAAAGAAAGAAGCTTCAAATTTCTCACATCATTGATGGGAATGGCAAGGGACTCAATAACATGGATGACATCAAACAAGAAGCTATCAGACACTTTCAGAACCAATTCCAAGCTCCAGCAACTTCCATTCCTAATTTGGGCAATATTCTGCCCTTTATCCCTCCTCTCATCTCCAATGAAGACAACCTATTTCTTACTAAGCTCCCAGATTTGGCTGAGGTAAAAGCAACCGTTTGGGACCTGGATCCTGACAGCGCAAGTCACCCGGATGGCTCTAATGGTAATTTTTTTAGGGCTTGTTGGGATATAATCCAACAGTATGTTCTCACTGCCTCTCAAGAATTTTTTCTGGGCCTCCCAATTCCAAAAGGATATGGCAGTACCCTCATCACCTTGATTCCCAAGAAAGAAAATCCAAAACGGTTTGATGATTTTAGGCCCATCTCCCTCTCAACCTTTCTCAGAAAAAATTAATACTTAACTCCTTGCCAACAGACTTAAAATGCTGCTCCCCAAACTCATCTCACCAGAACAAGGAGCTTTCCAGAAAGGTAAGTCCATTGATGACCATATTCTCCTTGCTCAAGAAGCCATACATGGACTAGACAGAAAGGTTTTTGGGGGTAACCTTCTCATCAAAATAGACATGGCAAAAGCTTTTGTCTACATGAACTGGAGCTTTCTTGAGAGCACTCTTGGAAAGTTTGGTTTCTCTCAAGTTGCCAGCAATCTGCTAATGGCAAACCTCCGGAGCTCCTTCATTTCTTCCCCATGACCGGAGGAGTTAAACAGGGCGTTCCCCTCTCTCCACTTCTTTTCATTCTAGGGTTTGAAGCTTTCTACAGATACCTAAACCACTCCATGGAGAGCAACACTATCAAGTGTTTCAACTTGGGAAGTGTTAGGATGCCCAGCCATCTCATTTACGCATATGACTTGATGATCTTTACAAAAGGGGACATCCTCAACCTTCTTAAACTTAACCAAATTCTTAAAGTTTTTATGCAGGCTTCAGGGCAGCAGATAAACTTTTCAAAAAGCAGATTCTACACTCCAAAATCCACCACTGCAGATCAACAACTCAAGATGGAAAAAGCCCTGTCCATGAAGTGTGGAAGCCTCCCCTTTACCTACTTGGGAGCCACCTTACGTAGAGGTATTTTCAAAAAAGAAGACTGTGATTCTCTCTTGGACCATGTATACAAACATCTCTCCTCTTGGTATAGCAGAACCCTCAATCAAATGGGAAGACTTATTCTCATTAAACATGTCCTCTCCTCCATCCCACTCCACCTTATTGCCGTCCATTCCCTCCCAAAATCTATCATCAGGCAATTCCCTTATGGCTAATTTCCTTTGGGGCCAAAGGAATGGCGGGGCTAAATACCCCTGGAGGAACTGGAACTTTACATGCCAAAACAAGAGTGTTAGAGGCCTCGAGATTAGGAGCCTCTTACAAATTGAAACAACATACTCTCTCAAAATCTGGTGGAAAGCTCAGCATGATCAAAGTCCTTTGGCTATACTGGTTCGAGCAAAATACATGAAGGATGGGTGCATCAAAGAACCTCTCCCAGATTCCCCAACTTGGAAACGAATATGTAGAATTCACTCTCTGGGCATTTCTCACGCACAAAGGAACAACGGGCAGGCCCTCTGGAATAACGGTCAGTTCTCTCTCAAGCAAGCGTATAGAGCCACTGAGGATCATCTACCTGCACTTCTCTCAACCAAATTTATCTGGAACAAAGCGCAAATCCCAAAGCTTCGTTTTTTCCAATGGAAGATCTTCAATAACTCCCTTCCTTTCCCTACAAACCTTCGAAGATTCCACCTTGCACTTCCTAGTCGCTGCAGTTTTTGCTTTAACTCTGAAGAAGACTTGGATCACTGCCTCCTCAACTGCAAAGAGAGCAAAACTATTTGGAACTATTCCGCAGGCATGGTGGATGCTCCCATGCTCACGTCAAACCTCTTACTTCGCCAACATGCAATCTCATGGTGGGTAAGAGGTAACTTGAAAACTTTCAAAGGAGCACTTAAGATTATACTCCCAGGAATTATCGCATGGAAATTATGGAATGCTCGCAACGCCTTTATTTATGATGGAAACAGAATGAGCTCACGTACAGTTATCCAACAGATTGGGAAGCTTATTCAGGCTTGGGCATGGACTCACCGACAAAAGAAATGGCTAATTCATGACAAAGACTTTGACGCTTGGGAGATTGATAAATTTTGGAGGAAAGGAAAAAAGGCTTCTTCTTCTTTCTGAGCTTTAGAATGTGTATTTTTATCTCAAGATTGTAACTCTTTTCCTTATCAATAAAGATATTTTAAAATAGGGTTCCGACCCTAGGTCCGGCAAAGACAACTCCGGCTGTGGATGATGGACGATACAACAGTGGCATGGCTCTACACGGTGCAGAATTTAGAAGCTGGAATCCTGGAAAAGCTTGGCCGCCATCTACGAACAAGGAAGAACAAATCAAGGGGAGTACTTTGTTTATTTTACTTCATTTCACACATCCCAAACCTCCTCACTGTTGATGACAACAGTCTGCTTACCCAACTCCCTAATGAGAAAGAAGTCAAAGATGCCATGTGGAATCTATACCCCCAAAGTGCTGCAGGCCCTGATGGATTCACTGGAGAATTCTACAAAAGTTTCTGGGATATTATCAAGAAAGATGTGGTAAAAGCAGTTCAGGAATTCTTTCTAGGAATCCCTACTCCTAAAAGTTTAAATGAATGCTCCACTATCCTGATCCCAAAGAAAGATAATCCCATCACCTTTGAAGATTTCAGGCCTATTTGTCTTTCAAATTTCATAGCCAAAGTCAATACTAAAGTTATATCTCAGAGATTAAGAAACTTACTTCCTAAATTAATCTCTGAGGAATAGGGTGGCTTTGTCAAAGGAAGGCGGATCCATGACCAAATTCTGATTACCGAGGAGATCATCCAGAACTTGGACTACAAGACAAGGGGAGGCAATATTGCCATTAAGCTGGACATGTCCAAAGGTTTTGATAGGGTATCTTGGGACTATTTACAAGCCATTCTAGGGAAATTGGGGTTTGATCATAAATTTATCAATCTGATCCTCAATAATCTTAAAGACACTACCCTCTCCATCAACATAAATGGCTACCCTTCCAAACCCTTCCAACCTAAGAGAGGGCTCAAACAAGGAGACCCACTCTCCCCTCTTCTTTTCATTTTGGCAGCTGAAGGATTTAGTAGGGGCCTGAACTACAGAGTCAACACTCTAAAGATTGAACCTTTTAACATGGGGAGACACTCACAAATCATCTCTCACCTAGCCTTTGCAGATGACCTTCTGATCTTTCTTAAAGGAACAGCTCAAAATTTGGCTAGATTCTCAAATTTCCTAAAAGCTTATGAAGATGCTTCAGGGCACACCATAAATCTTCACAAAAGTTTTTTCTACCCTCCAAAGAAAACCCAAGTGGCACAAATCAATAGAATGGGAAATTACTTGGGCATGAATAGAGGTTCCCTACCTTTCAAATACCTGGGAACCCAAATCCACAAAGGAATCAACAGACTCAAATATTGTACTGATTTGCTCAACCACTTTGATTACAAGCTTAAAGGTTGGTACAAAAAATTCTTATCACAAGGAGGCAGAATGATTCTAATTAAGCATGTTCTTAGTTCTATCCCTCTACATCTCCTTGGCTCTTCTAAACTCCCCAAGAGTGTTATCAACTGCCTTCACACTAAGATGAGCAATTTTCTATGGGGCAACAAAGAAGGGAAAAATCATTATCACTGGAAGAAGTGGGCTGCCCTTTGCTGCCCAAAAGAGGAAGGAGGTCTGGGTTTCACTAACCTTGAAACCTTACAGGAAACATATGGTCTTAAGATGTTGTGTAACGCCCCGAAACCTGGCCCAAAAGAATTAATTAAATTGTTAGAGCAATTGATTACAAATTGGGCCCAATAAGGGGTTAAAATTATAATTTGGATTTTAAGCCCAACTTTTATGTCATCTCGTAGGAAATATTTTTGTGATCGCGTCGGTTCAGACGGCTCGCGAATCGGAGTTATGGAGCTCATGTTATGACCATTTAATCAGGTATTTTGGGTCCGAAGCCCAATCTTTTTAGGAATGGGACCATTAAATAAACCTAAACCCCAGCCACACAATCCTTATCTTTTTTCGTTCGTTCTCCTTCTTCTTTCTTCTTCTTTTTCTTTCTTCTTCTTCTTTCTTCTCCTTCTTCTTCTTTCTTCTTCGCCGCCCAGCCGGTCGCCGCCGTACAATTGGAGCAGCCGCCGGCGTCGCCGCTCATCGCCGCCGCCAGTCGCTGCCCAGCGTCGCCCTTCCCCAGCCTCGCCGCAGCCAATCGTCGCTGCCCGGCGTAGCGCAAGCCAGAGTCGCCGCCGCTAGTCGCCTTCCCCAGTCGGTCGTCGCCGTCCAGTTGGAGCCGCCGTCGCCTTCCCCAGCCTCGCCGCCATCATCGCCGACTGGTGCAGCGCCGCCGTGAGCCAGCCGCCGATCGTCGCCGTCCAACTGAAGCAGCCAGCCGCCGGTGTCGCCGCTCATCGCCGCCGTCGATTGCAGCGCCGCCGCTGCCTCGCCTTCGCCTTCGCCCTTTGTACAGCGGCCATCCGCCGCCGTCGAGTGCAGCGCCGCCGTCGAGTGCAGCGCCGCCAGTCGCTGCTCACCGCCGTCGAGCTGCCGCTCCGCCACTGTCGCCGGCGTCCGTCACCGTCGCCGCATCCGGCCGCTGCCCCGAGTTGATATCGCCGGCAGATTAACCTCCACGCCGGATTGATTGGTCGATTTTGTATTTTGACTCGATTTGACCCGTTCGGTTGATTTCGTTGATTTGTCTTCCGTTCGAGCTATCAATTCGATTTCGACGTAATCCAGGTCCGTACTATGAAGTTAATAGCATTCAGAATCCATTTAATGGTTTGGATCGTTATATGTGCTTATGCTATAATTTGGCTAAATTGGTTAATTGAATTAAATTGATTGTTTGAATTGAATTGTTGAGGATTGTGAATTGACTGAACAGGTTTGTCTTTGACTTGGGTTAGGTCCTGTTTGACTTGGACTTTGACTGGATATTCTCTTGTTGTAAGTTTGACCGAATGGTTAAATCCAAACTTTAATGAATTAGTTAAGTTAATTAATTAATTCTAATTGGTGATTAAGGTCAATTGGTTTATTGTGTTGAACATAGAAACTGACCATCGCTCGGGCGGCTGCAGGGCCTGGTCAGTGAGGTTAAGACGTGCGCACGAGGGTCTGCGATCTTGGGTTTGAGGCCATCGCCCGAGGGATCCTACCTCCACCGAATTGNTGAAAAGAAAGAAAATAAGTTGACTGTTGGTCAACCGTCTAAAGAACCGAATGTAAAGTTGAATTGATTTTTACTAAAAGGATAAACATATGCACGATCTTAATTGTTGAATTATTATATTTATTCTTGTGCTACAATGGAGTACCACTCAGCGTCAATGCTGAGCGGATAGCGTTGTTTTCCTTTTTGCTGTCCGTAGGTGAACAGACAGATGAACCTAGAGCCGATCCTAGAGGGCATTGAGGAGGAGATGTACGATGGCGTGGCTGTCTCTTTAATCTGTTGATTATGCTTTATTTAATTAACTTTAATGCTTATTACGTTTTCGGGCAAGATCCCAAGTTGTTTGACTTTAAAAAGGCTTCCGCATTTTTTTAAATTACTCTGATGGATTTTTATATGTATTGATAAAACATTTGTTTAAAAATTGTTTTGAAAATGTTGCAAATTCGGATACCATATCAGTGGCACACCGGTCCGCTGTATCACGGGTTTGGGTCATGCGGGTTGGGGTGTTACATTTTGGTATCGGAGCATTTGGTTTTAAAATCGGTCTTTGGACCCTTTCAAAAAAAAATACAATGAATAATTCAGCCGCATCTGCATCTCACGTAACTCCTCTGCCCCGGGAAGGTAATAAGTATTTATAGCTTTATCTGTTATGTGTTAAGATCTGACGTGAGAATTTCCTTATTATTTTAGAATGAGTCAAGAATCGACCCACGGTCAGTACGTTCTGGAGCCAGAGCACGTGAGCGTGCACACGGCGAACACCGAGGGTTCGAGTTTCACGCCTCCGGGTGACGGAGGGCAACAGCAGAATCAACCTGCGCCAGCGGGACAGCCACTAGCTGTACCACCGTCAGTAGTACCACCGCCAGTGATGCCACCGTTGGCGATACCGCCGGTGGCCTACGAGTATATGTTCCCGGCCATGATGGCCCATTATATGCAGCACATGGCGCAGTTTATGCCCATGTTCCAGCCACCTCCACCACCACAGCCGCAGCCGCGCATCGTTACCTTCAAGATGTTGAAGGATAATGGAGCGGAAGAGTTCCGAGGAGACAATATGGGGGAGCCTCAGATTGCTTTCGATTGGCTTGAACAGATGGACCGGGTACTCAAGAATTTGAGAGTCCCAGATGCTGATCGCTCGGAGTTGGCGTCACAGATGTTCCGGAAGGGAGCATATGATTGGTGGAAGCGCATTGACCAGGATCCACACACGCCGAAGCCCTGGACCTGGGATCGCTTCGATCGAGCCTTCACGAAGGAGTACGTCCCCACCTGGTACCGCGAAGAGAGGCGCGATGAGTTCAATGCACTTAAGCAGGAGGGAATGTCACTGCCTGAACTGAGACAGAGGTTCGACTACTTGTCCCAGTACGCGACGAGTCTGGTCTCCACTCCGGAGGATCGTTTGAATGAGTTCATCAAGAAGCTACGGCCGGACGTGAGGCCATACGCCGCACTGATCACGACTACAGATTTTAATGCGGCGTATGATTTGATTGTGAAGACGAAAAAGAGCTTGGACGATTTGCAGGCAACCAAGAAAGAGGATCGAGCGACAAAAGACCCGCGACCCGCGGCCAGCACCGGGCCGAGCGGGAAGAGTTTTGGATTCGGGGGAAAGAGGTACGAGAAGGGTTCTTCGAGTGCGCCACCGCCTAAGAGGAGTAAGTCGAGGCCGCCTCCGTCGGCCGCCGCTAGCAACTCGAACAGAACGAGGAGCCACCCGCAATGTGTACATTGTGGTAGGCATCACCCAGGCGAGTGTTGGCTCACCCAAGGCTTATGTTTGGTTTGTGGTCAGCCAGGGCATTTCAGGAGGCATTGCCCGACAAACCCTAGCAGCGAGCCTATTTTACCTAGAGCTCCGGATCAGCCTGCCGCATCACATCCAGCACGGAGTCAGCAGTCTACGGCCGCAAATAATCAGCAGAGACCACGTCTGCAGCAGTCAGGCTGGGCACCAGCGCGTACCTACGCCATGCATGGGCGCACAGATCCTAGTCCCAATGTTATCTTGGGTACGTTCATACTATTTGATTCGGTTATGCATGCCTTGATTGATCCGGGTTCTACGCTCTCCTATATCTGTGTTGGCATGCCTGCTAATTCTGCGATTGTGAGGAGTGACCTTGAGATGCCTACCATTGTATCGAATCCGCTAGGACATAGCATGCGTCTTCATCACATTTATCATAGATGTCCGTTGTCCGTGCAAGGGAAGCAATTCCCTGCAGATTTGATAGAGCTACCACACAAGGAGTTTGACATTATCCTTGGTATGGATTGGCTCACCGAGCATAGAGCAGTGGTCGACTGCAGTTGTCGGACCGTACGGCTGAGAGC